CATCATAATTATATCTCCCCTCTTCCACAGTAGGAACCCTGGCTCCAACAACACAGTTTCAGAATTGCTATATACATATTATTATTTTAAAAATAAGCTTACTAAAAAAAAGATTTTTTTTTTTGCAGTTGCCCCCCAACCAGACTGAATGTATGTAATCAAAATTTTGTGTTTGAAAATTACATAGATTAAGCCAGGTATGGTGGCTCATGCCTGTAATACTAGCATTCTGGGAGGCCGAGGCAGGAGGATCACTCAAGGTCAGAGTTTGAAATCAGCCTGAGCACGAGTGAGACCCCATCTCTACTGAAAATAGAAAGAAATTAATTGGCCAACTAAAAATATATAGAAAAAATTAGCCAGGCATAGTGACACATGCCTGTAGTTCCAGCTACTCGGGAGGCTGAGGCAGGAGGATCAATTGAGCCCAGGAGTTTGAGGTTGCTGTGAGCTAGGCTGACTCCAGGGCACTCTAGCCTGGGCAACAAAAGTTAGACTCTGTCTCAAAAAAAAAATTACTTGGATTAGTTCTCCCCCTCCTCCCTTCAGTGTGATTATGTTATGTATTAAAAATACACTTGTAGGCCGGGCGCGGTGGCTCACGCCTGTAATCCTAGCACTTTGGGAGGCCGAGGCGGGCGGATCGCTCAAGGTCAGGAGTTCGAAACCAGCCTGAGCGAGACCCCATCTCTACCAAAAATAGAAAGAAATTAATTGACCAACTAAAAATATATATACAAAAAATTAGCCGGGCATGGTGGCGCATGCCTGTAGTCCCAGCTACTCGGGAGGCTGAGGCAGTAGGATCACTGAGCCCAGGAGATTGAGGTTGCTGTGAGCCAGGCTGATGCCACGGCACTCACTCTAGCCTGGGCAACAAAGTGAGACTCTGTCTCAAAAAAAAAAAAAAAAAAATACACTTGTATATCTGTTGGTGTCCAGTCAGGGGACAGAAACCATAAAAGTTATTTAATAGAGAGAATTTAATATAAATATTTGTTAGCTAGGCATTAAGTTAAGTAGGTAACTAAAAAAGTTAAATAAAAGACCAAGTCTTTTGGTCTATATTGTAGTTTGGATAAATCTTTTACCCACATATGGTTTTGTAATTCCATGCATTGGTCACTGGTAAATACTAGTTGATTAAGTTATGGAGATATTCTGCATGTTAATGTATTTCATTATACACTATCAAAAAAATCACCTTTGTTATTATCACCACCAATCAATCTTATCAGAAAGGAATTAAAGTATTGGGAACTCTCAAGCTCCCAATGGCAGACACACAAATTTCTAGTTTTAGTTTGAAAGCTCAAATTTTATCATTGGCAACCAACTCTATCAGTTGTTTTCCTTGAAGTGACAGGCTCACTTTGTTTCTCCTTGAGAAAATGTCTGTTAAATGCCCAAGTCTGAATAGCCATTTTGTCGGTCACTTCTTTCAATCAAAAATGGTGTTCAGTGAAAAAAGTGGCTATTTTAACTAACAAACAATCGCACAAACGCTGTTCCTTGAGACAAGCATCGTATTTTGCTATACAGATGTACTTTCCACTTAATCGTAAGAATACTGAAATGGTGTATATGTAAGGAGTTTGATTTAATAATTTTTACTACTTCATCAAGGATATTCTTTAAGTGTAACTGGGTTATTTTTCCTGAAAGTGTGTGGTAGTAAAAAATACAATGACTCTTAGTATAGTATGGCCTTTATTCACACAAAAGTGCCAACAATTTTAGTAACAACTGCTTTTGTATCACTAGTGCAAATGTCAACACAGTGAACAAGGAAAACATCTTTAACATCCCCCAAAGAAAGCTTGTACTCACTAGCAGTCGATCCCCATTCCAATGCAACCCTCATCCCTGCTCTAGCCTCAGGCAACCACTAAACTACTTTCTGTCTCTATAGATTTGTCTATTCTGGTCATTGCATATAAGTGAAATCATGCAGTATGTACTCTTTTTTGACTATCTTCTTTCACTTAGCATAATATTTTCAAGATTCATCCATGTTGTGACATGTATTAGAACTTCATTCCTTTTCATGTATGAATAATAATCCATTATACTGCTATAGCATGTTTTCCTTTTTCATTCATGTATTGGTGGACATTTAGGTTGTTTCTACTTTTTGGCTACTATAAACTATGAACTTCTTTGTACACATTTTTTGCCGACATATATTTTTATTTCTCTTGAGTATGTAACTTGGAGTGGAAATGCTTGCTCATAAATGGTAATTCTATGTCTAACTGTTTGAGGGACTGCCAGTTTTCCAAAGTGGTTGCACCACTTTTAACATTTTATCAAAGCCTTTACCATCACTTAAGGTGCAATCATATTATTTTTCACCTTAGACCCACTAATGTAGTGAATTTTTTGATATTGAATTATCCTTGCATTCTTAGTATAATTCCCAATGAGTTATTTCTTAATGGCACCTCCCTGAGTTTTAGTTTTTTTATCTGTAAATTGTGAATAAGAATACTATCTACCTCATAGGGTTGTGAAGATTTAATGAGATAATAAGTGCAAAGTGCTTTTCATAGTGCTTGGCATATAGTGAATACTCAATGTTTGCTGTAGATTACTATCTATAGCTGTAGCTTCTCAAAAAATTCAGACATTTCTGTAAGGCTGGTGGCAGGGGCCTCATCCCCTCCCTAGATGGAAAAAGAAAACGCTTAGTGACCTGACCTGCCAAGGACAAACTGCCAGGCCCCATTTGAGAGGAACCACACCCAGATCTCCACCTGGATTCGCTCCTGGATTCCACAAATACCTCCAGCCCCTCCTATTTCTCAACCACCATCCAAGGTCACAATAGAGAATCCCAGCTCTTCCCGCCACAAGTCCCTAGCCCCGCCCAAAGGGTATAAAAGGCCTCAGCCCCTTCAAACTGCGGCGACTTCCGCCCCCCCCCACTCTTGGGGCCCCAGAACCTCGTCCACGAGTGTATAATAAAGCCACGTGGTTTGGCCCCCCACTCTTTCTCTTTCTGTGTCTCTTTTCTTTTCGCCACCGCCGAAAAAACCTTACAATTTCCTAGCCATAAAGTCTGAAGCAACTAAATTTCTGTGTGGAGAAATGTTCTGTGGGGAACGATGCACTTAGTAGTTAAAGGCTCAGGCACTGGAATCAGACAGACATGAGTTAGAATACTGGGTTTGCACTTTCCAGCTCTGTGTCTTTGGCACGCTTTGCTTAACCTTTCAGAGCTTCACTTTTGTCATCTGAAAAATAAAGCTATTAATGTCTAATTCATTTGGCTAATGTGTGTATTAATCAAGGTCTTTTATATAAAGTACTTAACCCATAGTAATAGTCCAATATATAGTGAGTTGGACCTTGAAGGGGAAGAATAGTTAGTCTGGCAAAAGAAAGATGTTCCAGGAGAAGGCAATAAACTGACCCATGTTTGACTCGATCAGGACAAACCATCTCCTCTTCACTCTTCTTTCCTCTCAAAAATAAAGTTATTTCCTAACAGGGCAAACAAACAGTATGGTAAGATGAAGGGAACGCTGACCAGGGAGTTGAGGGACCTGGATTCTAGTTTTGGTTCTTCCATAAATGGCTGCTTGGCCTTGAATAAATCACTTTGTAACTAGATCAGTGGCTTTTAAAGTTTTGATCACACCCTGAAATAAAAAAAAATGCATTTTACACCCTGGTCTAATATGTATGTATTTATGTATATAACTGAAAAATGTTTCATAGTGTAATCCTTACTCTTACTACTGGAGTACTGTATTCATTTTCCATTGCTGTGCAACAAATGACCACAAGTGTAGTGTTTAAAACAACACACATTTATTATCTCACAGTTTTCCTGGGTCAGTGCTCTGGGCACAGCTGAGCAGAATGCTCTACTCAGGATCTCACAAGCCTGCAACCAAGGTATCTGCTGGGGTTGTGGACTCTTCTGAGGCTTGGGGCCCTCTTTGTACTCTCTCAGGTGTTGTCAGAATCCATTTCCTTGCAGCTGTAGAATTCCTGGCAGCTTGCAGCTTCTTCAAGGCCAGCCAGAGAATCTCTCTGTGAAGGATTTGCCTGATTAGGTCAGGCCCACCCAAGATAATCGCTCTTTGATTAGCTCAAAGTCAACTGCAAAACAGGCCTTAAATATATCTGCAAAATCCCTTCCATTGCCATATAGCTAACATAATATCAGGAGTTATATTCCATCATATTCACAGGAACTTCCCATACTCAAGGGGCAGGCAGGGATTATATGAGGCCACTGGAGCTCATCTTAGAATTCTGCCAACCACGTGTACGATATATTCTGATATTTTCTACTCTTTTACCTCCTTTACCACTTCCAGACCAGCGTCGACTATAGTCAATAGCCACAGATGAACGCGCACAGCGACTTTAGCCAATAGCCGTGATATGACTTTTCTAATTTTTCATTTATCAAAATAAAATTGTGAACATTTAAAAATAATGTAATGAAAACATATATGTATATGTTACCTATTCTGATTTACATTACAAGTAAAGCTGTCTGTAAAGTAAAACAAGCTTTCAGTGCTTTAAAGCTTTCCTCATCACACAAGAGCAAAACGGATTTATTGTCGATGCACAGCACAAACTATCGTGCGGACCATGAGTGCCGGCTGTGGGCAAGGTTTCGCTGACGGAAGTGGTTAAAGATACAGACTTTTGCCACCTAATTAATGGGTTGTGCCAGCAGCTTGAAAACCTAGACTGGATGATTTTCAGGGGTCAAGAATCTATGCTCCCAAGCACAGACCAGACCCTTGGACACTCTGGCCATGGGGTCTCTGGCCACAGGGGCAGGAGACACTTGTATTAGTAATTTGTTGAGAGAGTTTGAAGGTGTCAGTGCAGACTTGACCAAACTTCTTTGGCTCTGACTGTCACAGAGAACTCCTGTCTTTCCGATCTGGGAGCCGAGCCTCTCAGCATGCTGAGTACTTTATTTGGACAACTCCCAAGAAGAGGGAACAATCAGGACAAACTCGGAAGCTGCCAGCTGTCATCAGTTCTTTTTGGCTCATCAGCTCAAAGGAATGCCAAGGAGGTAGGGTGTTGGGGACAGGCCCAGGCCCAACACAGCCACCAGCCGCAAGCAAGTGACCTGCTCTCAGGACAGTTCTCCTTCCTGGGCCTTAGTTTCCATCTCCGGTAGAGGACTTTGTAAGGACTCCTTCTGTCCAGAACATTGTGACTCTGAGAGGAAGCAGAATTGCCATTTTTCTTGGAGGCTGACCCAGGAAGGGGACCATCTCCAAAGAAGTGGCCTTATTCTCCTGGCCAATGATCAGGTATGTTCCAGAAAAGCTCAGGGAGAAGCCAGATTGTGAACTCCCCCAAAACAGGGCTGAGGACTCCTCCAACTTTGGGTTCCTGCCTCAGGCATAGAACCTGGCACCTAAAACTTTACTTAGCTGAACAAAGGGACCCTGGGAATAGTGCCTTTTTTTTTTCTTGCTTTGATCTCCCAGATCCCACCATCTTGGTGGGGCTGAAACTCTGCCTTCCAGGTAGTTTAAAAGGAATTAGGATTCTTCCTATTAGAGGCAGCTGGAGCCATGGAATAGTGCTGCAGCAGGGTGGCCGGAGACCGGAGCGCAAGTTCTTACCTAAGACCTCGGGCCTCTGCAGGGCACGGTCCCCCGCCCCCACCACCACGCTATGGGGCATCACTCCTGTCTCCTGCCTGCGGTCTAGAGTAAGACGGGAGGGAGGGGGCTTCTGGGGTGAACTGTGAAATGGGGAAAGAGAGGTGGGGGATGGGAGGAGGGGAAGAAGGGGAGAGAAGGAGAGATAGAGAAGAGAAGGAAAAAGATTGCTTTTAAGACTAGGTTCTCCCCACCCCCAGGACTTTTCAAAGGTAAAACCCAGAAAAACAAAAAAACCCTCAAGTATCTTTTTCTTTCTCTCCATCTATATCTCTGCTCTAGCCTGAATGCTGGTGTCCTCCCCAAATCCATATGTTGAACTTAACCCCCAACATGACAGTATTAACACACGTGGCCTTGGGAGGTGAGTAGGTCGTGAGGGCTCCATCCTCACGAATGGGGTTCACGGCCTTATAAAGAGGCCTGAGGGGGCTTGTTTGCTCCTTCAACCATATGAGGACACACAGAAGGTGCCACCTATGAGGAACAGGCCCTCACCAGACACCAACTCTGCTGGCACTTTGATCTTGGACTTCCTAGCACTGTGAGTGATACATTTCTCTTGTTTATAAATTACCAACTCTAAGGTATCTCTTTGTGGCAGCCCAAAGTAAAGGAATCACTCTCCTTCCACCCACCCCGCAACAGAACTTGTTGAACTAGCAGGGATGTTGCTGAACAGGAGCACCTTACCATCCACCTTGATACCTCTGGGATCAATGCGGAGTTTAAGAGATGCGCCACCCGTGCATCGCGCCCTCAGAAGGAGCCATTCTCAGACATCGCTCGCTGTGCCAGCCTGCCCAAGGTGCTTTTGCAGCTGTGGATCACTGGGGAGGACTGCTCCTTCCTCCTTGTGGCATCGCCTTCCCTGGGCAGGGAGCTCTGGCAAGACAGCCCCCCTGGCCTCTGTGTGCCCACAGTCCTGCCTTCCCAGGGGAGGAGGCTGTCCCAGCCACCCTCCCTTTGTCTTTGTTCACCAGCTCTGTCTGTGCTCACGGGCTGACTACAGGGGTTACATGCACAGATGCTCTGTCCTCTGGTTTCTGATCGGGCAAGATATTTGTGTCTGTTGGGGGCAGGGATATGAATCTCCCGACTCCCTCCCTGCAGGTGGCAGCGGGCTGGCTGCAGCACATCCCTCCACTGAGGCGACACCTCCCGAGCAGACTGCTCTCTCCACCCACCCTCTGTCTTTTCAGATTCTAGTAACTGCCCACTCTGTCTCGGTGTCACCTCAAGGATATTGCACTTCCCTTTGTGGATTCCCCATGGCGTGCCCACGCTTTTGTAAAGAATCCCTTTATTAAGCTTTGTTCAAATTACACAGTTTGAGTATGTCATCTATTCCTGCCAGACCCTCACTGACAAGAGGGTTGACTCACTTTGATTGGTGAGATCAGGAGGAGGAATATGGTCTGGCTGTTCTGATCCCTTCTGCTCTCTTTCTTCTTGGACACTGGTCTCTCTTCATTTTGTGCAATAGATGCCCCCTGCCTCCTTCTCCAGTGTGGCTTGTGACTGGGTTCCAGTTCTGTCTCATTCTGGGCTCCGATATTAGGCAGCCCTAAACAGAAATGTATTCATCCATATTAGTGTTTATCGGTAATAAATATGGTCATCTGTTAACCTGTTTGTCTCATTTCCCAGCCAGACCTGGGTAGGGAGAGGGCTGTGAAGGGGCCCCTCATGTGCCCCAGGCGGGCAGAGGGTCCTGCCCCCCCGGGCTGCTGGGTGAAGGAGGCTTCCACGGTGAGCCCTGCGTAACGGGAAGCAGTGACCACTGGGAAACTGGGTTAGGCCTCTCTTGTGGCCTCTCTTTCCCCAGGGACATCCTGCCTTTGCTGGAGGAGGCTGCTGCGAGGTGGGTGGAAGGAATGTGCTCTGGTCTCTGTCAGAGCTGCAAGTGAATCACGGTGCCTCTGCAGAATTGCTCCAGTTGTCTGGGAAGAAGGAAGCCCCTGAATGACTCATCAGTGGCTGTTTTACTGTCCCAAGGCAGTGCCAAGAGGAGACTCCTGCACAAAGGGGCTTAGAACCAGGCTGAGGAAGCCCAGCCCAGCAAGCCCAGGGCGGAGGGCACAGACGCCGGAGGGGAGGAGGTGTTCCAGCCTCAGCGAAGAGGAGTGAACAGTTGTGCAGGGGAGGGGCCCTGACAACTCTCCGGGCCCCCAGTTACTGTCACTCTCGGGGTTACTCAAAGGAACTCTTCACCCTTTAGCCTTCTTCTGGGTTCTTGCCTCTGCTACCTGTGTGTGTGCTTGGAAATGCTCATTAATTTTAATACTGACATAAGGAAAGGTATTATAATTAGGAAGGTGAATGCGCTGCAAAATAAATCCTCTGATGCATTTACAATGGAATGAATTGCCTATTGTTCAGGATGGTTCTGCTCCACTCACCTCCTATTAGCGCAGCTCATGGTGAGCCAAGTGTGAACTACAGTCATCATTCCATAACGCAGAGATATATGGAAAGGGTAGAGGAGTGCTACAGACGACAGGCACAAACAAGTTTCAAGGAGGCAGAGGTCACTCGAGGCAAGGGCAGACGAAAAAGTTTTCAGGGAGTTGGGAATTGAACTAGCTTTGAACCTGGCATGATATTCTACAATGTAATCTGTCACGATTCCATAGGACTTCATTGCATAGTTTCACCATAATTTATTTAATCAATCCCCTATTGTTGAACATCTACGTTATTTCCAATTTTTTGTTACTATAAATAACACTGTAAAGAACATCCTTATACTCACATTTTTACATATTTAACTAATTTTTTAAATGATATTTTTCTTGAAAGGGCATTGATGAGCCAAAGGGTACACAAACATTTTTTTAGATCATTATGAGTTTTTATGATTACTGAAGTAACATGCACTTACTGTAAAACATTCAAACACAAAAACAAGGTGTGGTTTTGAAAATGAAAGTTTTCTGGAATCTCACATCCCGGAAATATTTTCTGACAACTTTTTAAAAATGCAACACTAATATGTTGTAATAGACCCACCTCCTAAGACTCACTTTTCCATCACACCTTGAATAGTCACCAGGCCCCAGAACCCATACCCTGGCCTGATGGCTGATTCATCTGTTTGAAATGTCCTTTTCCCAGATATTCACGCAATTCCTGCCCTCTCTTTATTCAGGTCTCTGCTCAGCTGTAACCATTTCAGAAAGGCCTTCCCTGACCACCCTACCTAAAATAGCATGCCTCATAATTCTGTTTCTTCATAGCATTTATCATTATCTGACATTTTGTTAGATTCATTTTCTTTTATTTTTTTATTTTTTTTTATTTTTTTTATTTTTTATTTTTTATTTTTTTTTAGGCCCATTCATGTACTTGTAAGATTCATTTTCTTATTGTCTATTTAGAAAACACTGTGAGGGCAAGGACTTGGCCTTGTTCTCAGCATATCCCAGTACCTGGAACAGAAACTGGCACACAGTAGGTACTGAATAAATGCATGTTGAATACAAACCATTATCAAAACCTGAAAAATGGACCTTCCAATATGATGCTGAAAAGGAGGGGTGAGACCAGATATTCTTGCCCTGTTCCTGATCTTATGGGGAAGTGTCAAATGTTTACAAAAGACAGTGAAAGATTCTTATCACATAATGTGTAGACTATGTGCCTATGAACTTGAAGTTTGAGCAAACTGTGGAAAGAAAGAGACATTGTTATTCCATTTAATAAAAAAACAGAAAATATTGGAAACAATCAAAGTTCCAACCATAGAAGAAGCTACAGAAGAAATAAGAAAGTGATGATGATTTAGATTTTGATACTGATTTAGAGTACACGGAAGATAACAATCAAGTGAATTAATGCCTCTATATTAAAAGTCAGTTTGAGAATGTGAAAAAATGCATGTCGAATGATTGAATAAAATTAAACTATTTTATAGTTCTGAAACCTGCTCTTTTGTGTGTGGTTAGCAAGAGTCTACTAATAGTAACTAGAACTTTTTTCAATTCCTTTATATAGTCATTTGAATTACATAAGACAAAATCCATTGTTCAACATACAAATAAACATAATTAACTTTGGAATCAAACAAAGAGAGAACTGTTCAAAAGAGCACTATATGTATTTACACAGATGAAACCTGCTTTTGTTACTTAACAGTATTTCATCGACATCTTTTCACATCAGTATGTAAATCTTTCTAGTCTGCACAGTAGCATCGTAATTTATTTACCCAATTATCTTTTGATGGGCATTTGGGTTGTTTGCAATTTTTCTATATTATAGACAATGTTGTATTGTACATCCTTACACATATATTATTGCATGCTTCTAATGTTTTATGTCCTTTATCTGAGATGATGAAAAAACCTATGAGCATAAATGTCTACCCTGATGTTGGAAATGCAGACTTAGAGCTGAGAGATATCTAGCTTGGGGGTAGACTAGAGACTTCTTCACACAGATCTGGTCTTTGAAGTAGTAGGAATCAATGAAATATAAAGGAGGAAATTGAGCAAAGCTTGAAGACATGAATCTTAAGCAATGTCTGCAGTTAGAGGGCACGAAATTATTCATTTATTCAACAAATAGTTATTGCTTGGTATTTTCTAAAGGCTGTAAACACAACAGAAGCAATGTAGATTTTGTCTCTGCCTTCCTATGGCTTAGAGTCTAATAGGGGAGGAACACAGAAAATAAAAAATGAAATCTGTGCCCGGCGCGGTGGCTCATACTGTAATCCTAGCACTCCGGGAGGCCGAGGCTAGGTGGATCATTTGAGCTCAGGAGTTTGAGACCAGCCTGAGCAAGAGCGAGACCTCGTCTCTACTAAAAAAACAGAAAGAAATTAGCTAGACAACTAAAAATATATAGAAAAAATTAGCCAGGCATGGTGGTGCATGCCTGTAGTCCCAGCTAATTGGGAGGCTGAGGCAGGAGGATCGCTTGAGTCCAGGAGTTTGAGGTTGCTGTGAGCTAGGCTGACGCCACGGCACTCACTCTAGCCTGGGCAACAGAGTGAGACTCTGTCTCAAAAACAAACAAACAAACAAACCCAAAGATGAAATCTGACATTCACAATGGCATGAATAATACAGAGTGACACTGGAGTACAGAGGAGGGAAATGCCATTGACTACCGTTTATAAGGCGAATGCTCTGGAAGTAACATTTACAAATAGAGACTGGAGTAACTAGGGATTAGCCAGGCGAGGGGGTCAGGAGTGAGGAAGACTGTTTGAGGCTGAGGGTATGAAGCAGCATGGCCTTTTCAGGGCTCTGAAAGAAAAAAGTTCACTGTGTGTGACAAGAGAGTTGAGAGTGAGGAGGGTGGGGGGAGAGCTGAGATTGAGAGGTAAGCAGGGGCCTTCTGAGCCATGTTAAAGGGTGTGGATTTCTTTTAAAGGCAATGAAGAATTTTAAGCAGTGAGGTCGTGTGATCAGAGTTACATTAGAAAATTACTCTGACCGCAGTGTGGACAATGTATTGAAGGTGGGATGGGGCGTGGCAGAGGACAAGACTTGATGGATAGCTGGTAGGAATCGCTGGTCCAAATCCTATTGCGTTGGATGTAAAGAGCAGTTGATGGACTCCAGAGGTATTTAGCAGGACTGGAAGCTATAATTGACAGGACTTGGTTACACATTGGATTTAAGGGGAGAATGAAAGTAAAGAATCAGGCTGGGAGTAGTGGCTCATGCCTGTAATCCTAGCATTCTGGGAACCTGAGGCAGGAGGATCACTTGAGGCCAGGAGTTTGAGAACAGTCTGAGTAAGAATGAGATTCAATCTCTATAAACAATAGAAAAATTACCCTGGCATGGTGGCGCATGCCTGTAGTCCCGGCTACTTGGGGGGCTGAGGCAGGAGGATGACTTGAGCCAGGAATTTGAGGCTGCAGTGAGCTATGATGACGCCACTGCACTCCAAGCTGGGTAACACAGAGTAAGGCCTTGTCTCAAAAGAAATTAAAACTAAAAAAAGAAAGAAAGTGAAGAATCAATAATAATAAAGATGAAGAGCAGCTTCTCGTGTGAGATAAGAAGAGAAGCTAGACCAGAAAGGAGTAAAGATGAAAATTTTACTTTGGGACAAGCGGAGGTTGAGGTGTATGTGGAATAGCCAAGCAGAGATGTCACGAAGACAAGAGAGAGAGATCTAGGCTGGAGACAGAATAAAGGGTCATCAGCATCCAGACAGAATCAACGCCCTAGGCAAATGTCAACTCCGTGAGAGCTGGGACTTTGACTCTCTTCTTGACTGTGGTACTCTCAGGGCTTAGAACATTGCCTGACTTATGGTGGGTGCTCAGCAAATATTTGTGGAGTGAAGGACTAGATGAGATCACTCACGGAAAGTAAGGAAAGAGGGAGGCCCAGGACAGAAAGCCAAGATGCACCACCCCTGCACAGGAGGGGGAGAGAGAGAGAGAAAGGCTTGTGAGGGGCACAGAGAGGAAGCAGTCAGGGAGGGAGAAGCCAGATGAAGAGAGGTGGGAATTGGTGAACAACGTCAGAGCTGTCAAGAATAAGTCAAAGGGGTAACAAGGGTCAGGGAGACTTTGGCGACAAGGAGGTCATTGGTAACCTTCCTGAGGTTGTTTTTACTGACACACTGGAAATA